AGGCATGCTTTTAGAGACAGCGCTCATTGTCTGACTTTTCAGTTGATCTTCTACCAGGAGACTCACTTGTTGGGACGTGTCACGTATGCACAACCACAACCTACCTCGACGGGCGATTTTATACGGTGTGAGAGTACACTGGAGGAAAGCTAGGGACGGACAAACCAAAAACACCGCACCAATTCATGAAGACATCGACGACTGGACTGAGCCATTTGTCTTCCCCCAAATTCTGAGCTTCTGAATCCCTCATAATTTCTCTTTTCTGTAATTATCAAACTAATTTATGTTTTCTTGAACTTTATTTTCGATACCTACTCTTTGCAGTCACCATTCACACTGTTACTACCTCTACAACTCTGAGATTTGGCCTGACAACTTCATCTCTCTGTGCCGATGGGGTATGGCAACTTGAACTGATGTACATAAGTACAAGTTTTACATTGTGACTGGCTGTCTTGCTGGCGGAGTTTTATACCTGTTTACTTAATAAGCTTGAGTTGTTGTCTGCTGTTACCTTTCGCTGCTGCCATGTCCTTCTTTTCTGTTATTGCCACCCACTTCTGCTCACGTGTATTACAATTAATTTTTATCCTCCTACGTTTAAGTTGCTTCTCTCTTTGTCTGTTTCGATTGTAAACGGTTGAATTCTGTAGAAGAAACGAAAATCCATTAATTTTTCCCAACCTTTTCGATTAGGTTACAAGTAATGCCGCTACTGTTTCTACTGTTTGAATATCATGCCAAACTACTTCGGGTATCACTTTCATGGTTGATAACTCGTTCTATAGTTGTTCATGTGATATATTCTTAATTTTTATTCTAAATTGTACTATAATTTGTTTTCTTGCTGTGGCTTTTCTTCATTTAGTAAGACGCAGACAAATACATGTTTGAACTAGTGTGTTATCTGAGTATAAATATGTGCTCCAGAATAAGCGTTATTCTTTAAACGAGCTTCTCCAATGATGAATAATGGCAATGTGATCTAATTAAGTCTATCAATAGTAGTAGCTTTATGTACTGATGTTACAATTTGTTCTATTTATTTATTTATTTGAACACATATATATTGGTACAGGAGTGCGCCAAATATATATGTGCCACACAAAACAATAAGAATTTAAGAAGAAGAAACAGAAAAAAGTGGGGAACGTAAGAAAAGATATAAAAAAAACAATAACGAAGAGATTGGTGTAATAATAGTAGTATTAGTAGGGTAACGGAAGGGTACAATCAGAAGAAATCTTTCAGTTAAGGAAGAAACAACCATTTTTTATGAAGAAAGTTAAAGAAGGTTCCAACAGGATCGCCACTGACTTCTATTCTGAGCCATATCTGAGGTGGTTGTATGCCCTCACTCTGCCTGAGGTGTTTGTATATGGGGCCTTTAGGATGTTAACAAACTTCTCAGGCACACCCTTCTTCATTAGACAATCCCAGAGAACAGTCCTGTCCAACGAATCGAAGGCAGCCCTAATGTCAAGAAACACTACGATTGTTGGCCTTTGATAAGTATGAAGGTGTTCTAACATTTGGTGGAGGGTGAAGATGGGATCAATACATCCTCGACCGGAACGGAAATCAGCCTGCTCCTCGCGAGCCAATCTTTCTCGGGTTTTGACCAACCTACGAAGTATGACGGAAGCCAATAGCTTGGATGCAATCGGAGGTAGACTTATCCCCCGATAGTTGTTACAGGAACGACGTGAACCCTTCCTAAAGATAGGGACAACTATCGACTCATTCCATGACGTTGGTACACTCTCTGGCTCCCAGACCTTTGTAAACAACGTCGTCAGTTCCTTAGCCAGAAAGTCACTACCATCTTTAAAAAGGACCGGAGGTAAGTCATCTGGGCCCGGTGATTTGTAGCGCTTCAAGAGTTCATTGAGAACTTCCGCCTCATTTGGTGGATCAGTCGTCACCGGCCATGGACGGCAGGACAGTCCGACCGATGTTGCCGGAGCAGCAGGCCAGTTGAACTGCACTTCGAAGGATTCTGCCCATCGTCCAAGACGTCGATGGACGTTAGTGATTGGCGTTCCGTCATCCTCGCAGATTGTTTCGCTCACACTAGATTCCTTGCTGCCAGTGGCTCGGATGAGTTGGAAGAGCTTCCGGTCATTACCAGATGCAGCTGCTGCTTCCAGCTCATTAGCACGCTTCGACCACCTGGCTTCTAGGTCCTTACGGAAGCTTTGCCCGATTTCCTTACGTAACATCCTTCGTTTATGGTCAAACTCACGGTCACCCGGAGTAGACCGACGGGCTTCGCTGAGTTATAAGAAGCCTGAAGAAACCTAGTACTTACAAGCGGGACGTTTCGCGAAACCGCAAGGGGCTTTACTGGCCATTTTCATGGCGTCATGCAATTGCATCCAATGCTCATCTATACTTTCCGGTGGAATGGTAGCTAGCGTAGAGTCTAGCTCGGTTCGATACTTACTTGCAACAGAAGTTGCAACCAGCTTGCTAAAATCAATCCGTTGGTGACGGTCACTTCGTTGTCCACTGAAAAGTAAGGTAAGATTGGCGCAGACCAAGGCATGGTCAGAGTCCGGATAGGTACTCCAAAATGAGCGGCAGTCTTTTACACAACCACGCCAGCAGTAGCTGATCGCGATGTGATCAATCTGAGTCCAGGACTGAGATGCAGCGGGAGGACGCCAGGTGGCACGTTGGCGCTGACTGTGCCGGAAGTTAGTGCTAGCCAGAAACAGGTTGTTGTCTGTGCACAATTGCAGTAGACGGTCCCCGTTATCTGTCCTGCGACCAACGAGTCCCCATCGGCCACCTAAACGACTCTCTTCTGTGCCTAGATACCCGACCTGAGCATTCAAGTCTCCGGCTAGTACTACAATATCTGTCGAACGCACTTTCTGGGGAAGAACAGATAACTGGTGGTAAATCTCATCCTTGATTGCATCCGGGCTGCTATCTGTCGGAGCATAGGCGGAGATGACGAAGAGACATCGTTTCTCACGCCGATTTCTTCTCACTTTGATGGAACTTTCTAATCTAACAGCGCATAACCGACTGTTAATGGGGATCCAGTCGATTAGTGCTGCCTCAGCTCTAGCGCTCAATGCGACATTAACGCCAGCAAAAGTGGACGAAGATGCCACAGGGTCCCCGGATAAACGCACGTAAAACAAGCTGTTTGAAGTGACAAATGTAGTGCGAATTTGTAGTACTTCACCATAGTCTTGAGTAGGGGTCTCGGATAGACAGCAGACATCGATATGAAGACTTTCCAAAGACATAGCCAGCCCTATCTGTTGTCCGACCTGCATAAGTGTGCGAACGTTGAAGGCAGCCAGTTTGAGTGGTGCACGTGGTTTCATAAAAACTGCTTCAGTACTCATATTCGGTGGTAACATACAATTTTCAACCCGTCAGTGACTCGAGAACGTTTAGATTCAGTCGAGTTTCCACCATAGATGAGCTGCTGTATAGGTCGAAAAAAATAAGTTTAGACAGAGTAGGAATAAAAGAGGGTGAATAATGACGTAGTAAATAATAATAATAATGGTAATAATAATAATAATCATGGTAATAACATTGAGGGTCACTTGATTGTTATTTGAAGCGAGAGGTATATTTTTCATAAGTAGATAGTTTATCATGTTTTTGCGTGCGGGCTGCGATACTGCCCGGGTGCCCAGACTGAAGCAAGTGGTTTTCTTAGGGGTCCATACCCCGTGCCTTTTACCTTAAGATCTGACCCTCAAGGCAGTGGAGCATCGTGAGGAGATGCAGTCCCATGGTAGCCGGTGACCAATGATTGGTTCATACGCCATTTGTTCCCTCAGGATACTGGAGCCCATGTGCACCATTGGTTTGGGATCCGGTTAAAGCGCCGGATATTCGCTTTTCGTCCTCTCATTTTCGTAAACAAGACCCCCGCCACGAGATGGCAATGAGCAGGACTTCCCTGGCAGAGGCTGTATATGCGCGGCCGTGTGAGAGTATTTCGAGAGGGAGAGCGGGCCCACCCCGCTCTCAGTCATACCAGGGCATTTGGGGGCTAGTTGCTTTTAGTGTATTGCTACCTTGTCTAGGCGTCTTTGTGCATAGGAACAAATAGTTGATTTTCGGAATGACACCAGAAAAAAACGTATTATATTCTACATGATCTATTCATTATTGAATACCCTTTCACTAATTAGTTATTCCATCAATCTGTTTAGTACCTTTACTCATACAAATCAGACCTATCAGTTCTTTTTATCTGATTTAACCTATCAGTTATTCTAGGTTTACTTGTCTGATACATGTAAAGTTCTAAGCATGAGTTCGTTTTTATTTGCCTCCAAACGCCCTGGTATGGCCGAGAGCGGGGTGGGTTCGCCCTCCCTCTCGAAATACTCTCACACGGCCGCGCGTATACAGCCTCTGCCAGGGAAGTCCTACTCACTGCCTTCTCGTGGCGGGGGTGTTGTTTACGAAAATGAGAGGACGAAAAGCGAATATCCGGCGCTTTAACCGGATTCCAAACCAATGGTGCACATGGGCACCAGTATCCTGAGGGAACAAATGGCGTATGAACCAATCATTGGTCACCGGCTACCATGGGATTGCATCTCCTTACGATGCTCCACTGCCTTGTGGGTTAGACCTTTAGGTCAAAGGCTAAGGGGTGTGGCCCCCTAAGAAAACCACCTGCTTCGTTCTGGGCACCCGGGCAGTAACGCAGCCCACACGCAATTAATGAACTGAAATTGTGTGGCGCATATATGTTTTGCGCACTCTTGTACCAATATATATGTGTTCAAATAAATAAATAAATAAATCGTTTTTAGTTAACGCTGCTGCTATTCTGTGAATATCTTACCGTTTCAATCATGAAAATTTTAGTCGTCGCTTAGTAGATATATGAATTATTTGTTATTATGTATCGTAAAGGTAATAACTTATGTTTCAGGTGTTGGATTTTAATTTTTTTATTTTAAATTTCCGTCCGTAATATAATTTATGAATTGTTTACTGTTGAACAGATGTTTCGCGAAAATCAATGGGACCTATTACGTTGTATCAGTTATTTTCTCAAGTATGTTTTTGCCTATGTTGATTAATGTTCATCATACCTTCCATATGTAACATTTTTTGTTATTGCTATCGCAAATACTGCAGTAAAATATCACTTTATTTATCGAACGGCATATAATTTTTATGTCCACTTGTACTGTATTTCAGTTTAATGTAATCCATAATTTCATGTCAGCAAAGCTTTCATTGATATTTTCACTTATTTTCGTACAGAAGCGTTTGCGGCCTGTTTCAAGTTTGGTTATAGCTTTTCTATTTACGGTTATGGGATCATCGGGTAAGTAACAGTGAGGTTAGACTCAGGGTATTAGGGAATGATGGTAAATCTTCACCAACTGCGATGGTCGGGTTACCGATAATCACGGCGCGCAATACTGACTAGTGTTGGGGATGGTTGGAAGAAAATTAGGGGCGGCCAAACCAAAACGTGGCATCAGTACTTTAAGTTACTAGATTCTAGTCTTAGCCATACTGGTAGATGCAGACTACTTGGTTGAAGTTCGTGTGACTATCGTAACGAATGATTGGAGACTCTGGGTGACATGACTCAGTATCGATCACAGTGACGTAGAAGTGTACACTCTCTGTCTTCCCTTAAACTATGAGATTACGATTGCTTTATATCTTCCTTTATACTACCTAATTCTTTCTTCATGTATTATATCCTTATATGCAATCTTTATTTTATATATCACCACCATTGAATTAACTACTTCTGTGAATTCGGTGTTCATCTCGTTGTGCTAATGAGGTGTGGCAACTTGAACCGATGCATATGTGTGTCTGGTTCTTCGTTGTAGCTGACTGACTGACTTTGGTTATCACAATTGTCTGTTTTATCGACTTTAATGCGTGTGACGGGTCTAAATGAATATATTTGTTTCTACCTCCATTGCAAATTAGCCCCTGATTAGTACTTCCTTCTCTTTTTAGACATAAGTAACTGGGTGTATCCGGATTCAGTAAGTTACTTTTCATTCTACTTCGTTCAAATTATTATATTTTCTTTTCATAATAAATGTTTTCCGATTATTATGTTTGCTCCACCTTGCGTTATTATCTAGGTCGAGCGAATAGAAATGAATAATTTGGTAAACACCAATCGTGTTTTCAATTAAAGAAAACTTAGCAACTATTCATATGCCTATGAGATACAGTGGGTACTACTGATTAGTTGTTTATCTAGACAGCTCATCCTAACTTACGTTGTAGCAGGTTAAATAAACCACAACCTGTCTTAAGGTTCCTCAAGTATTAGTACGGAGAAAAATCTTTTGAATTCATGCACATTTATCACTAGTTCTTAAGTGTTATAAATAATATATCTGTGTCAGTCATTTTGGGAGTTGGATGTCAGCATCTATGACCCACGTTTTTAGAAGGCGATTTAATTTTGAAAGGCCGAATTATGAATAATCGTCTGATCTCATAAAGTCGTTACTGGAAATTAACAACACACACTTTAAACATTCAGGGGCCTTCTAGGTACCTCTTATAGTTTTGCATACACATCGCAGTACTGTGTTTGATAACAGGAAACACATTTGTCGTCTGCACCTCGGTTAACATGTGGTTGTGAAGTTTTTCGTTGAAATTCAAAATGACTGTCATATATTTCATTATGCTCATCATTTTGACATTTTAAATCAACTCATTCAACAGGTGTTTGTGTGTGAGCTTCACTTGAAGTACGAGGAATAATAATACTTCCCTCCTGCCCAGACTGAAGTAGGTGGATCGGAGTTCGGACCTGGGACTTAGTGGCTGTAAGTTCAGTGCCTTAATTACTAATCCACTGCTCCACCATTTCAATTCACGTATCCATCTACTTTAGTTAGACTAACGTGAAATGGAATTTTTATCGAATTTGGTCTAGTCACATGTCAAGGTGTATGGTCATTGTAACATACGATATTGATACCGATGTGAAGAATGTTAGACAGAAATACAAGTATTTAGTAATTTCGTTTTTGTAACTATAAGAGCCGATAATCATTTCTAGATGTTTCGGCTTTCTTCTGGAATTCATATTTTTGGGTAAGCACTAACCTTATGCACAATGTATGGCTCAAAAGTCACAGTCCTTAGCGCAAAATGTTTTAGTCAGCAATCTCCACCTCATTGTCTATTCCACTATTGTTAAACTGCAGCTAAGGCTTGTGAAAATATAGTTAAGACGACGGGAAGTGCTTCGTAATACAGTCTAAGTGACTTACAGTTAGTTCCCAGATTCTAATTTTACAGACGCATTTTGTGCGTAACACTTATAAATGTAGGGTGTCACTATCTTGAAACGTGGAAGAATGACAGATCTTACTGGGTTATAATTATTATTATTGGCTTTGTTCAATATTATATTTCTGGTTCAATATAGAATTCTCAGCATAAAGTATTTCAACAAGTTTTTTTCTTATTTCTTGATCGATCCTTGAGACAAATATTGAGTGGTCGCCAGTTGGGTGTTAGCAGTTCGGGAATCGACATTTGAATAACATACAATTTTTTCGATGCATATTGCCAGCAGTCACGATGTTTCTGATTGGGCTCTTTTGTAACTTGTACGGTGAAATGTCGTAAACTTGTCGCAAACGCTCCTGAATCGGTTATGCGACTAGTGGGCATAATGATGTGTTAAAACAAACAAGAAAACATAACTTGTTGAAATATACAGGTAGCCAAGATATTCTACTTTAGATTATCAGAAGTAAATTTTGTTTAAGAAAATAAAACTGACTTAGTGATTTCAGTGTTCATATATTTTCCAGGTCTCTTATCGGTTCATGGGTGAAAAAATGTGTGGGTCAGATATGTGCATTGAGGCTGCTAATCAAGGCTACATGCTGTGTGATGCCGGGATCCATGATTGCTACGTAGTGAATAACTCTTATCGGTGTAAGAAAGGAGTTCCACTAATAGATTCCTGTGAGTATTTGGCTAAAGGTAAGTATCGTCGCTGTTTCAGCTTTTTATCAAATATCATTTATACAAGATAAAATTTAATGGGAATATAAAACAAATATGCATCCTTCTATTTTCCGAGGTTATATACACAAAGCTATTAGTATTACATACATATTCGCTCAAATTTCATAGGAAGAAAGACTTCTCTATTTCACTGTTCTATGATACTAGAGTCTCAAACCATCTGGGCTAGTTTGGGACAGAAAACTTCCCGATTCCCATCCGAAAGGTATTTTCAAACAAATTTTGCTTAAATAAAACATTCAAGGGTTGGAATTCTCGTAACATAGAAATAATATCAAACGAAGATAAACGTCATCACCATAGATAAATCACGCGCTCATTCGTTTGATGAATTTTGAGTGTCTATCTAAATTTCTTTCATCACTCCGATCAACCTAGGCTACTTTTCATGCCGTCAGGATACCAGTCTAACTGGGAAGCTTGCAACACAGTTTCGCTTTGTCTATGAAACCTGAGTGCTCCGAAGCATGTGGCTTATAGTGTTGTTAAATATGGCTCAAAGTTGAATCTAATAGTGATCAGTCTATTGCTTTTCATCACATTTTTTGTCAAAGTAAGGTGCACCCTCTAAACTAAAAAAAAATCTTTCTTGAAAATATATTTTAACTCGACTTTAACTCTTGATAAGTAGTATTCTTGGCCACTTATTTATTGGTTCTACTATACTTTTCTCCTATCTCTTCACATTATTATCCCTTCATTTGTGTGGCACTATTTTTGGCGTTCATTTTACCATAATTCATGTACTATGAGTAGATAAAATGCTAAAATGTTAAAACTATACTTATATGTTGTGAATTTTTATGTTAATCACATCTAGTTCCGAATGGTTTAACACGATCTCTTTGTAGTCTCTTCTATTTTACTCAAGGTTAATAAGCTGAAGCTACTTGTTCATTAAAGAAATTATGTTATGAAAAATATCAATGTAGAGAACACTAATTATTCACATATTTACTAATCTCTTACGTGACCGATTGGGCTTTCATAAAAATAAAATAAAATGAGTGCAGTATCGTTTCCACTCTTCGTTAATTTTATTCTCTGCTAGTATCAAATATCTGTACAAAACATTCATTTTTACCGCTTCATTAATAGCTGTTCACAATTTTTATTCTGTATTATATCTACAAAGTAACCACTAAATATTGTAGTTTATTTTAGTTACAGTTGAGGCTCTAGCGTTCTCATTTTCCCCCACTATTTTTCAGATTTAAATTGGTCTTGTCCACATGTCTCCGGAAATTCCCCTGAAATAGCCGTAAGTTTGTTTTCAGTATCAGCATGGTTCTTAAATAAAGAAAAATTAAATTAACAAGTGTTGGCGTTCTTTCATTTAGCATATGACTTTACTCACTTACTCCTTTATAAAAAAGACTCACTGGCTACAAATTTCTTGACGCAGACAAAGTTATCGATGTATAACAGAAAATTACAGCCAGTTTTTGACTTAAGGGTTTTCTAACCCTAATGCCTGTGGAAATAAGCCATCGAGTCATAATTTTCTGATACTAATGTCGTATTGAGAATTACTTCATATGAAATCGACAACTCTTCCCCGATTTTTCCGTTTTCATTATCATTTAGAGGTATGATAGCCGTAATGGCATAAAAAGTTTGAATAGCTGATTGAATTGAGAACAATTGAAGCCTTCATTCTATTAAAATTTAGCCTTACAATTGGCTGTATTGTAGACTGGGTTGCAGGTTTCAACACTCGGTACACGAACACATTTGTGAAACATTCAATGACTTGTTCAAATACATCCATCTTATTTCATCTGAGATTCGTAGTCATGCTACGTTTGAAGAGATTACGATATCACCTAGGACCGGCGAATAGAACGGAAGTCAGCGACACAACAACGGGAGAAAATTTCCACGAGACAATGGTTATGTCTGATGCTGTACCTATTTGCAATATAGATGAGAATGCCCAGTAATATCAAGAGTAATGAATTTCCTCTCCCCTGGGTTTGTGATAGGACGTTAATAGGCTCGACGAATCTGTACACGATTTGGAACCAGGCTTTCTAATGCTTCTGGAAAGATGTGGTGGTCGGTCGTTTTCCTCCTTTGACAGAATCCATCTTTGTGACCAATAGATTTTCATTTCCTACAACGATGTTTTTTAAACGGACAGGCTTGTACAACCTACATAGTAACGGCGTTCTAATGTAACTAAACTTTTGCAATTGAAGACTGCGGATGAGGATGAGGGCTTTCAACTGATGTTCAGTCAACGACTTCATCAGAAAGCGTTCGCTTTGCCCACATGATAAAAAAGGTCAGCATCTTCGTTCATAATCAGCTTCAAACATCGATAACATGCATTGGGTAGTGAGGAGTTATCTCCAAACTGTTGGCTTAATAATTGGACAGTGTCAGTAAATGAGCAGACGTGTGGGTTCAGATGTAAAGTCAAATTTAAATAGATCCTTATCAAGCCGGAACCACATGTCAAAAGTAACATTAGCATCGCGATCGTAGTGAAATTCGGTTATACTTTTGGTGGTGCTGTTAGTTGACAATGCAGTGGTGGAAACAGATGTGCTAGGTTGAGGGGTAGGCGTAATTTTCCTATCTGTCAACATCTGGATAAGTATAAAATGCTGCTCCATCAATCATTCCACTTTTGTAGGATCCATACTTGCATCAGCCTCTTCGCCACTTATGCGTTTTGGCGAGATCACAATATCACCTAAGACCGGCGAACGTAATGAAAGTCAGCAACATAACTTCAGGGCTAGATTAGTTATTCCACTGCTCCTCAGCCCTGAAAACGAGATGAAGAAAACCAGATCCAGCCGAGAAAAATATATATTCCACAAGCAGTCCGGAAACATGAACGGAAAAGCACAACTCATGAGTATATATACAGCACAATAATAGAAAAATGAGATTTTCTGACAGTACAAAAATGTCCTCGGGAAAATGTCACGAAATAGCGTATTGAAATAAATAATAAAATTATATAAATGAGACGTTTACCAAGTGATTTCTGGGGGTATAGCATCACAAACAAGTTACCAATATTTTACCTGTCCAGCGAGCAGACTCGTATAAGATAAAACTCTATCTTTAAGATTATTATGGTCAATGAAATATGAATTCATCTGTTTCGTAGAAGCTGCCTATTCGGCTTGATATAAAACATCGATTTCGTATTCTAAAATAATGTTTGTAAAAGTTTGAATTTTACTGACCGTCAATTTTGAAATCGTTATATGTTTTACACTGTTGTACTTAATGGCAAATTTTTAAGATTGTATCAATTGAGTATGAGTTTTACCCCCACTTCTTATCCACATGTAGGTTATTTCCACTACTCATATTCCTTTCCAATTCAGTTATTATTCAAATGACTCTTTTCATTTAGGATTACGGACGGACTCTGCATAGTGTTTCCTACAACGCCAAAACTCTGTATCGCATAAATCCAGATTATATTTTGAATTTCACTTCTAAATTCACTGACTATGAGATCAGACAACAGCTTGCTCGCAACAGTGTGTAAGTCACACGCATATTTTAAGGTGTTTATGAACTGTGTTATTAATAAATAAATTTTAACTGTCTCACTCTTCCAAGTGACGGTAGCACGGACATAGACTAAAATAAAATTTACTCAATGTTTGCCTACAGTTGCGGGCAGCTAATGCAAAAATGCAAAGGCATCGTAGATAAGTAACAGTAGTAACTAGGATCAGAAAGGGATCTCATCTGACTAATCTCGATTGCTGATCGTACCACTTTGTTAGCAGAGACCCAAATTCTTTCTTGATAACCGTAGAGTAATCAGTTTGATCAATACCAGCCTGTATAACCGTGCGACGACTATCTGTCGTTTGAAAAAAACAAATCAAGGGACACCAAACTGGCATCAATGCAAAATGTTACTTCAGGGTTAGTTTGTATCAACGCCTGAACTGATGATAGTGAGTAAAGTAGTTGAGCGCGTCGATTACTTCACTTATTATGAAAGTTGAACCAAACCTGGTGGGTTGGTGTCTGAAAAAATCTCGACACATTTCAGACAGTTCGGTTAGCTTTTGCTAACTTGCATCACTTGTGACGCTAGCGAGATGTCTGTCCACCGACCTAAGGAACACTATACTCCTCAGTAGTTCGTTCTGTTCTACTTTATGTATATGAAACGTAGCCTTTGAAAATATAGAGGGAAATTCTCACGTCAATACTCATTGAACATAGATATCTTTGGAACATTGTACGCGTATGTTGGGATCATCTAGTGAGCGAAGCTGGGTTTAGACGCAGAGTACTGGATAGAGATGGCAAATTGGTTGATGCGGTTAAATATTTCACAGACTTATAGGTTTTAGGGAGGTTCCAAAAATCTATTGAACTACACTGGCTTTTGAGGTTCAAGAAAACCTAGTCTTACAAAAATACAATTAGGGATGATTTTACTGTAAGAGGATAGTAGGCAGGAGGAAGGTATGTTCATTGTGAGAAGTTACAAAGTGATATGGAAACCCAGTTAGAAGTACCATTGTGAAAAGGTCAATCGATGGCAATCAGAAGTGACTTAATTATATTGTCCATTTGCATCTTTTGGTGCGTTCTTTCATTCGAACTGCCTTTCATCTGCTCTTCAAGTGTTCTGTTAACGCTGCACTTTCGATGTTCTGGAATTCTTCATTTCATTAGACAATTGCTGCATATTAGATGCCATATATCGCTATATACTACTTATAAACACTTTTGTGAGTAACGTCCACTACACTATCACTATAGTGCTATCCAGTAATCGTTTACCTTAACAAACTTTTAAATACGTCAAATATCATCTTGTAATGGATTATGAGTAAGATGATTCAAGACGTCATATTATTTGATTGAATTAAAGTGTGAACAAAATTCTTGGTACTTTTTGGCTATCGGGGTTACGATGAAATTCGTTAAAATAATATTAATTTTTTACCGAGGCACTGTAGTCACCAAAAATATTCAGACTATTTTTGAAACGTAAACAAAAAATACTGAGAAAAATCGCATGCACAACAGAATACTAACTTACATGAAACGGGTGAATATTAAAAACAGGAATAAAGCGACAATAGTTACGAAAGTAAAAATATAATTAACAATACTTATGGAGTACACATGTGTCAATGGAATCTGAAAAATACAAAAAAAGTATTAATTGGAGCGATTATTCAAAATAAAAATATTTCAAGATATTAAAAGACATTTAGTTTGATAATAGAAAACCTGAACTGGAGTTAAACGGTTTCCCCTAAATTAAAAATTACAGCGATATTGCGCACTTTTCATAAACCAGTTAGAAATGTAAACGGATAATTATGAATCAAGCTACTGAAAACCAAAAACTAATCCCCAGTAATCATCTGAAACTGTTAATTCATTGTATACACATAACTTACATGTGATGATCCTAACCAGTAAACCAAAGCGATCGCGAATGTTCCACCCTGAGCTGGAAGACATTGGCATTCAAAATCAGAACCGACAACAATTGTTTTGCAATTTCCATCATTCCACAGTTCTTTAAACTCGCTAGTTGAAGGAGGGTAGAGTAATAACTAGCGTTCACTCAGTGTATTTGTATCAGATTGCAAAGTTTCCTAATAAGATTTCCTGAGTCTAAACCTAGATCATTTTTACTCCTAAATTCTTTAAATTTATTTCAGTTCTGAACGTCGTTCAATTGCCAGTCAGTTACTTGACAGCATGAGGTTTGCATTAGATATGTCTCCAACCATTGTTGCATCCGGTTATAATCGGTCTACAAACTCTACTGCGAATTCAGAATTTCTGTCGACTTCAGCTTCCAAAAAACTGCAAACAGTCTCCGTATTTCTCCATTTAATCGCGGAGATCGCCCGCCAAACCCCCTCTGTTATCGATTTATTAAGATCCGGCAAAGAAACTGAAAAGAGTTTACGGTTTTGGGTAAGTGTTTCCGATCTGGTTGGCCGTCTTATCATTTGATGGTGGGAATTTGTAAAAGAATACTGTACAGTTTTATGAATGATCAGTTTGGCCATTAGCGTACATTGACTTAACATTTACGATTCTCATCGTTGTAGTGTTTACTCGTACATTGGGAATCACACAGTTAAGAAACGTTCATGATGAAAACCCTAAACTGATTGCTTTTTCATGGACACTATTTTTACTATTTACGGTATAAGTGTGTCAGTAGAGGTTTTTGTGGCACTGTTTGTTTATATAATCATATTTCAAGTTAAAGTTATCTACTAGTTTGGCTCATCTTAAGCCGAGTGTTACGGTTCATTTTTACTAACATATCATGAAACCATGTCTGCAGTTGTCAGGGATAGTGTAAAATTAACTTGTATAAACAGGCTCGTATATCCCAATTGGTTAAAATAGATTTATAGACAGCGAGTCTTGTTCCTTTAGGTGGAAAGCATCAAATGATATTCAACTAAATGTGCTGTATCTTAGATCAAGTTTCAATTAATTTGTAAGAGAATACACGCTTTAGTCGCCACTGAATACAAAATTGATGGGAAACGGTTGTGTGACAATCCGAAATCTATACATTTGAGCACTTTTGACTGAACAGGCTAGGCGTCTAACTTTGAATACGTTTTTGACGTTAACGAACGTAAATAAAATCTTCATTAAAAATTGAGTAGAATATCTTCAATACATACTTTAAATCTTGATTAATCAATTTTTTGCAATTAATATTCATCTCAAGCTAAAACTGACGAAAGAACCAATATAAATCAGACAGCCCTGGGTAGCTGTCCAGTCTTTATATGCGACTCCTCATCATAACCTAAACAGAACCCCGTCAGAGATCAAGTGTAGAAATTTCAGGTCATGTAGCGGGAGCGATACTACAGGCGATGTTCTGCATTTGATCGTGACTCACTTTTTTCTTTGTCTCGTACTTGCGGTGAAGTGCGAGAGTCATGTATTAGATCCACGCTAGTGTTCTAATTGGGTTTCACTGAAAAGTGTCATGGTAGAACGAAAGAAATGTTCAATTATCATCAGTTCTGATGTTACGGTGTATTAAAAACTGTTTAAATTAAATAATCTTCACAAGCTTGTTGATAAAGTTGTCTTGCTGCAAAATTTAGCTTTATTATGTACTGTAGGTTGATCTGCAGTTATAAAACATTTCTGACTGCCAGTCGATTAGTTAGCATTAAGTTGAACTAATTTCAGTATGCTGAAGTTGCAGTTTGATGTTATTAGTAATCTTATGCATTTACAAGGAATAAAGCAATTTTAGATAATCGATTTTCTTATTTTCCCTGAAACTTTGCTTTCATCTGATTTTAGTCCAATTTTATTCGTAGATTTAAGTCACTGCATAAATCTGTTAGGTGAGTGAAGTATTTCCTTTATTTATAAAACCTACCTAAGTGTCTCGTCAGTTGGGTTCACTTGTTATTTGTTTATATGTTGTTTATTTTTCGTTGATACGCATTCAACTTTACAGTATACTACTAAGGCTGTGTTAGAACTTACGATCGTTTTATTTACACTTGAATCAGTATTTCTGTTTTGATGGTGTGAATGTTGGATTTCGTGCTTTTTTTATCCTGAGAGTTCGCAGTCTTAATTTATGTTATTTGTGTATTATTTTTTAAGCATTTATCTTCAGATACAGGCAATATAACAATGAATAGTTCGCAAGGGAAGGTGATCAAGTTTTCCATTAAACCAAAGCAATCAGGTTAGATCATAAATCATAGAAATCACTTTAACCATTCTAACTTTTTGTGACTATATTTACAAGTTAAGAATAACTTACTTTCATGCCGTTCTTTTCTACGTAACAGTTGAATCTTGTTGTTCTTTAAGATCATAACCTTCAACCACTTAGCGTACGGTTTATATTTTTCTGTTTTATAAACTAGAAATTCTTGCTTGCTACACAATTTAATGAATTGCATGTACCTTGATATATTCTACTAATAAAATTAAAACTTTTTATTCCAATGGACTAATATAGTACTTATTATAAGTACTCAGGATTTATAAGTTACTAATTGAAACTGTTTAGATTATTGTTGATATTCACGATTATTCATTGACATATTTATGCCTTGAGAATTCCGCCCGTAAAGCCATTTGTCACAAGTTTTATAGAATAAATAAATTGTGGGTAGTAGTAGAATACAGCACCCCCGTTTCTTTCCCGTGTGAAACTTACCATCTGGAGGTACCTGAATCTCGGTCTCGATGTTCACATTGAGACTCAAATTCGGTACCTGTTGCTTTAAACGTGAATGCGTTATCCACCGAGATGCCCTGTCCAGCCAATGTTTATTTTTTTCGGGTAGTTTCAAGTTAATATAAGGTTTTAAGTCGGTCAACGAGTGATTTGCCCTCACGAGTCTAATTTACTGATCTAAAAAGTGTTCACAATTTCTTCTGAATCAATATTTCCCAATATGGTCATTTATTTCATTGTTTTACCTGAAAATTAGGACCAAGAGTGTGGAAGTTTTACTGGTTATGTAGAGTACTTTTTCCCATGTTTTTTAATCATTCATGATATACATGATACATTACTTACTTACACCTGTTAATCTCAAAGGGACATAGGCCGCCGACCAGCATTCTCCAACCCATTCTGTCCTCGACCTCCCTTTCGAGTTCTATCCAATTTTTGTTCATTTTTCTCATTTCTGTCTCCATTTCTCGGCGTAATGTGTTCTTTGGTCTCCCTCTTCTCCTCCGTACATGAGGATTCCGTGTGAGGGCTTGTCTTGTGACGCAGTTGGGTGCTTTCCTCAATGTGTGTCCTATCCACTTCCAGCGCTTCTTCCTGATTTCTTCCTCCACTGGGATCTGGTTTGTTCTCTCCCACAGTACGTTGTTGCTAATAGTGTCCGGCCAATGGATCTGAAGTATTTTGCGTAGACAATTGTTGATAAACACCTGTATTTTCTGGATGATGGCTTTCGTAGTTCTCCAGGTTTCTGCCCCATACAGTATAACTGTCTTGACATTTGTATTGAAAATCCTGACCTTGGTGTTGGTTGACAGTTGCTTTGAGTTCCAGATGTTTTTCAGATGTAAATATGCTGCTCTTGCTTTACCGATCCGCACTTTCACATCTGCACCAGATCCACCATGTTCATCAATGATGCTACCCAAATATGTAAAGATTTTTACATCTTCCAAATCTTCTCCGTCAAGTGTGACTGGATTGGTGCATGCTGTGTTGTATCGGAGAATCTTGCTTTTCTCTTTGTGTATATTGAGACCTACTGCTGCTGAGGCTGCTGCCACACTGTTCGTCTTTTCTTGTATTTGTTGTTGCGTGTGCGATAGAGCAGCCAGGTCATCTGTGAAGTCTAGATCGTCCAGCTGCATCCTAGATGTCCATTGTATCACAAGCTTCCCCCCGAATGTTGACGTCTTCATGATCCAGTCGATCACCAGGAGAGAAAGAATGTGTGAGAGTAAGCAACCTTGCCTGACACTGGTCTTCATTTCGAACGACTTTGTCAACTGTCCTCCATGCACGGTTTTGCAGTGTAATCCATCATATGAGTTCTGTATGATATTGACTATCTTCTGAGGCACGCCATAGTGTCGAAGAAGTTTCCGTAGTGTTGTTCTGTCCACGCTATCAAATGCCTTTTCGTAGTCAATGAAGTTGATGTAGAGTGATGATTTCCATTCAGTTGATTGTTCCACAATGATCCGTAGAGTTGCGATTTGGTCTGTACACGATTTACCCTTACGGAATCCTGCCTGTTGGTCACGAAGTTGGGCGTCTACAGAGTCCTTCATCCTGTTTAACAATACCCTGTTGAAGACTTTTCCCGATACTGAGAGAAGAGTGATGCCCCTGTAGTTATCACACTTCTGACCCAGGACCTCATGACATGTTGAAGTGACTGCCTCTTTGATCCCCTTCCAGTTGCTCTCCACAGTAGTTCCTTCTCCGTTGAGTAGGTCATAAAAGGCCTGGAACTTGTTGCTGAGGACTATCTTGAATTTGTTGAGTTTGTTAGTATACTGAAGAAAGGCCGTATTGAACTTTTGTGATATTGTCCGCCCCGTTGTCCAGTGCTTCTTGAGTTTCAATTTCATCTTGGCGACCAGCAAGTGATGATCTGATGCTATATCAGCTCCTCTCTTGGTTCTCACGTCCTGTATAGTCCTCCTAAACGTTTTAATTGATGCAAATATGGTCGATTTGGTTTTGTGTAGAGTGATCCGGTGAAGTCCATGTGGTTTTGTGTATGCGTTTATGTGGGAATATAGTGCCGCCTATGACCAGCTTATTGAGGGCACATAGATTTGCGAATCTCTCACCATTTTCGTTCCTTTCTCCTGGAACATTTCGACCCATGATGTCTTCATATCCAGTGTTGTCCGTTCCAACCTTGTCATTGAAATCTCCCATCAGAATGGTCAGGTTCTTTGTTGGGCACTTCTCGATGATTGACTGCAGCCTATTGTAGAATTGATCATTAGAGTCTTCATTGTAGTCGTTGGTAGGCGCATAGCATTGGATGATGTTCATTGAAATACCTTCTTTCTTTGTTTTGAACGAGGCTTTGATGATCCTTGGTCCATGAGATTCCCATCCTGTAAGCGCATTTTGCACTTGTTTGGACAGCATCAATGCAACTCCTTGTGTATGTGGTGCATTTTCTTCTTCATGGCCGGAGTATAACAGGAGCTCTCCTGTAGTTAGTCGTTGTTGTCCAACTTGTGTCCAATGTGTTTCACTGATCCCAAGTACCTCTAGGTTGTATCTTCTCATTTCTGCAGCAATTTGGAAGGCTCTCCCGGTGTCCCACATTGTACGAACATTCCTTGTACCTAAACAAATGGTCGCTCTGGTTGTCAGAAGGGGCATCGGCCTCGTGACTTCCGAAGGAACTCGGCTTTCACCATGAAGCGTCATAATTCTCCTAAATGAAGACCTTCTGACTCCCGGGGCAGAGTTTAAAAGGTTTGAATAATTTTTTCTGGTTAGCGTTTTTTAGCGATTTAGTTTTCTACGTGATGGGGACGCTAACCCCATGCCCGACCCTCCTCCTTTATCCAGGCTTGGGACCGGCAGTAGCCACCGGAGGGACTCCAGGCGGAGTTTGGTCAATCTTCTATATAATAGTGACATTCCATCTCTTTCATTAACATGGAATTCCAAACACTGTCCACTTATCATTGTTTTTCTGGTGGTGTTTTATTTACAGAAATGCATGATACATTCATCGCCGTGATCCCAGCTGCCAACTTTCCAGGAGTTCTTCTGACACAACTAGACAATATCAAAAAAGTGACAACACCTTCCTTAGACTCAGATGTTGTATTGGTCGACACCAACAACGGTCTATCATTCACTCTGTCTGTGGATTTATCTCAGGTGATAATGTATAATCGTCCTAGCATTTATTATCTATTTTTTTAATCCAATTTTTATATTTATTATTTATTGGCTTTTGTAGATTATGGATTGCTTACGCTTAGCTGAATAGTAGCCTGCGTTTAAAGTTTTAATTGGTACTAGGACTCTAATGTTTTTCTTGAGAGATAGCATTTTCAAAACAATTTTTTTGTCCAATATTTGTGATTGATTCTAAAAAAGGGTTGTCGTTTAACTTAGCGGTTTAATAGTGTCGTTGTCTACTGCATAGTGATAAGAAATTTGTAGTTTATGCAACTCATTGAGTAACCTACAAAATAGGTTCTTTTGAATTTCATTTTTCAAAACTCTCACAATTTCTTTTCATGCAGAAAATATTATCAAATATTAGCGTTGCACCATAAGATGACTGCTTTCATTATTCGTAACATTATCAACATTTCTTTGTGGTCATTAAATAGACTCATTTTCTATGGATTAGGATAGTTATTCTGTTTGACTGTGTTGAATCACATATGAGTTTGTCGGTTTTGTAATGAGTGCTCTTTAGGATGAAAAGGAATTCTGAATTTGAATTGTACAACTATCATGGCATGTCTATATAATTTCTTCTGTCAGATATAAACGTAATATGCTCCACAGATTAACAAAGAGGTCAGTAGAAGTTATCATTCGTTTGTGCGAGGGCTGTGATACTACACAGGTGCCCAAACCGAAGCAGGTCATTTCCTCAGGGTACTACCCCCTAAACCTTTCACTTGATGGTCTAGTCCACATTACAATGAAGCAACGTCAGGAGATGCAGTTCCATGGTAGCCGGTGACCAACAATAGGATCATACGCCATTTATTCCCTCAGGATTTTGGAGCCCATGTGCGCCATGGGTTTGGAATTAGGGTTTTCCAACTCACCTAGGCAGACCCTCCTTTTCTACCAGCCCGGTTAAAGCACCGGACATTTGCTTTTCACCCTCTCAATTTCGTAAACTGTTGGGGGTGTTAGATCCCTAAAACTCACTTAGTGAATGCTTTAATTTTGTAATTTTATTTTTAAATTTTAAATTTTTCTTATTTTCGCGCCAAAAGAGCTCTTTATATTTTTATGTCGTATTTCCTACTTGGGAGAATCTTTAACGCTTATTGGTCCGTCGTGTATTTTAAAATGCTATTTTGTAACGTTTCCCAAGGACAGTTTTATGCTGTATATGTATGTTTGATTTGTGTCTGTTGTTATCGCTCGTGCTTCTGGCTTTTTGCGGAATATAGTTCCGCGTTCGGACTTCGACTTTTCTCTCTGATTAGCGGGGCTGGGACGCAGCAGAATAGCTAGTTTATTGGTTTTTGGTCACACGTCTTTGTTCCATTGGCAGACTAAGTGAACTCGAAATCGCTTCAAACCTAGCATAAACAACACCCCTGTCGTGGGAAGGCGATGAGTAGGTCTTCATTGTCAGTGTCTGTATACGCTTGGCCATATGGTAACATTTCGAGAGTGAGAGCTGACGCACCCCACCCTCGACGATACCTGGGCATTTTGGGGCGCTTATCTGTCAAAATCTGATTTTGTTTAATCATCATGGCAATATAATTCTTCGGTACTTACAATTCACAGTAGATGAATTCAGTGTTTAACGATTTCTTGCATCATTTTGGATTCCTTCATTTTTTCAAGTACTTTATTTTACAGTTTTCACCTTTATTGATTAGAATCCTTATTAATTTTTCTTTTAGAATTCGAATATCACTGTATCATGTGAACAACTAAAACAGAATCCGTAAGTCTAGTCTTGCTACTTATTATATCATGTTTTGTTGTTTTGTAGTGTTTCATTTATTCTAGATTCTTCAACCCCTAATCATCTCAGTTTATTTTTATCGCTACACGAATGATTCATTAAAATGATTTAGAAACGTTACACTTTTTTATTTTTGTGTTCTTTATCTTAACTACGACCATAATCCACTTATTCCATACTTTTGATTTATTTGTCTATCCATTTCCATCCTGAGTAATTATCTTTTTTGAATAATCTCTGCTTTTTGTTTGAATTGAAAACTACTACTACTCATAAAAAGGTCGTGTGTGACCGACCTCAAGCAGCTGTCCCTTGGGTAGGTTCCAAGAACAACTGAGGTCACACTTAGGTAGTTTTGAAAACGAGGCTGACCCAGATGTTGCTTGGAAGGATATGCAAGCAGCTGTGGAAACAGAAGTGACGTCTATTAGTGATATAAACCACAGGGTCACGAAGAGCCAATGGATTTCTTCAAGGTCTAATACACTAATGGATTCTCGTGAACCCATCCCATCAGGCTCTGAACACGATGAAGATCGAAAACAAATCAGATCTAGGTTAACCAAAAGTCTGAGGAACGACCGTGAGCAGTGGTGAGCAACGAAAGCAAAAGAGATGGAAAAGGCGGTGGCTATAGGGAACACAAGACAGCTCTACAGACTAATAGAAGAAACTGGAACTAGTAAGTCAAGTGTAAGTGAGATTATATCGGAAAAAGACGATACTCTCATCTGCTCCCAGTCCAGACGTTTAGAACGGTGGACAGAACATTTTAGAGAACAGTTCAGCTGGCCTTCAGCTACTCTACAACTACCCTCCATTCCCAGACACTGTGAATGGAACATTGAAGTAGGTCCCCCAACTCTTGCTGAAGTTCAAAAGGCTATAGTTAATCTGAAACGAGGAAGGGCAGCTGGTCCAGATGGATTGGCTCCAGAGGTCTTTAAGGATGGTGGTCCGATTTTAGCTATTAGGTTGACTAATATTTTAGCTAAAATCTGGGAGTTAGACGTTATCTCATCTAACTGGTCGCAATCACTTATCGTCCCAATATATAAGAAAGGGTCAAAATCATCCTCTGATAACAATAGAGGGATTGGTTTAACTAATATAGCTAGGAACGGACGAAAAAAAAAACTGATCTAGGTTAATTCTGAGGAACAAGCATGAACAGTGGGGGACAACGAAAGCAAAGGGATGGAAAAATCGGCGGCTGTAGTTAACATAACATAGCACTACAGACTAACAAAAGAAACTGGAATTTATGAGCCATTTGTAACTAATACTTTCGCGGAGAAAGATGACTTTATAATATGCTCCCGACCCACCATTCCCATTAATGAACGTATGGAACATTGATCTAGGTCCCACGACGCTAGCTGAAGTTCAAATAGCTATAGCTAATTTGAAATTAGAAGGAGCAGCCGGTCCAACTGCACTGGCCTCAGAGGACTTTAAGGATGGCGGTCCGGTTTTAGCTATTAGGTTGACTAATATTTTAGCTAAAATCTGGGAGTTAGACGTTATCCCATCTGACTAGTCACAATCACTTATCGTCCTAATAAATAAGAAAGGGTCGAAATCATCCTCTGATAACAATAGAGGGATTGGTTTAACTAATATAGCATCTCAAATACTAGCCTCAATAATTATCGGACGCCTAACTAAGACTCGTGAACTGCAAACATGAGAAAATCAGGCTGACTTCAGACCTGGTCGTGGCTGCATCGACCACGGATTCACCATTCGTCAGGTTATAGAACACAGACATGCCTATCGGCGTCCGACAATAGTGGTCTTTCTTGACTTAAAAGCATCATCTGACTCCGTAGACCGCGAGATTCTGTGGCAGTGTCTGTCATTGAAAGGCGTACCACAGAAGTACATAAACCTTGTGAAGGCTCTTTACTCGAACACTACTAATCGAGTGAGAGCTTATGGAGAACTGTCATCTACTTTTGCAACCTCAAGTGGTGTCCTTCAAGGCTGTCCACTATTTCCATTTTTGTTCAACTTCATCATAAACATACTGATGGAAATAACATTCTCGTCGACTGAATTCTCGGTTATTGATCTCCTTCCAGGGGGTCCACTTATCAAATTAGAATACGCAGATGATATAGTGAAGATGCTGATAAAATGCGGAGTCTTTTGGTAGCACTGAGCAACAATGCCAGAATGTTTTGGGTTGCGTTCATGTATGTAGTTTGGCGAAGGCGAGATATCCGTCTATCAATTAGGGGACGAGTATACTGCGCGTCAGTTCGTTCTGTTCTATTTTACGGCTGCGAAACGTGGCCATTAAGAGTAGAAGATACTCGTAAGCTACTAGTATTTGACCACAGATGCCTTATAAATATTTCTCACATCTTTACGGTTATGGGATCATCGGGTAAGTTACCGATAATCACGGCGCGCAATACTGACTAGTGTTGGGGATGGTTGGAAGAAAATTAGGGGCGGCCAAACCAAAACGTGGCATCAGTACTTTAAGTTACTAGATTCTAGTCTTAGCCATACTGGTAGATGCAGACTACTTGGTTGAAGTTCGTGTGACTATCGTAACGAATGATTGGAGACTCTGGGTGACATGACTCAGTATCGATCACAGTGACGTAGAAGTGTACACTCTCTGTCTTCCCTTAAACTATGAGATTACGATTGCTTTATATCTTCCTTTATACTACCTAATTCTTTCTTCATGTATTATATCCTTATATGCAATCTTTATTTTATATATCACCACCATTGAATTAACTACTTCTGTGAATTCGGTGTTCATCTCGTTGTGCTAATGAGGTGTGGCAACTTGAACCGATGCATATGTGTGTCTGATTCTACTTTGTAGCTGACTGGCTGACTTTGTGTGACTTCTGCCACTCAAATCGTTGTTTAAAACCGTTAACGACGTTCTTTTTTTTGCATTAATACTTCAATGTGATGACTTAAAATTTTATTAATTTGCCGTATGCTGTTAATGTTAATTTGAAATACAGAAATATAGGCCACTTCACTATTTGAACCATTTTATATAGTAATATGTTATAATTTATGATTAAATGTATAAGCATACACTACGCAAAATCCTTGTTACTATTGTCTTTTTAAAATACTATTATTCGTTATTCTTATTTTCCAACTGATTACTTTGTTGTAATCATATGGCCATGCATTTAATTAGGATATTTTTGCTAGACTGCCTACCGTTATCTTTCACTTTTGCCAATAAACTACTAACTTATTGCAGTTTGTTACTGCTACAATTTCATGTCCTGCTTTTGTGGTCTCATACACTTATTTTTAATGTTTGTGGTTTTTTTCTGTTCATCGTTGTGACGTCATCGTAACGGATCTAGTATGTGAGTCAGTTCTGTTAATTATACTACAGGTTAATGAATAATAATAATTGTTTTAAATCTCACACCTAGTTATTACTCTACTCTTTCAACCAGCGAATTTAAAGAACTGTGGAATGATGGAAATTGCAAAACAATTGTTGTCGGTTCTGATTTTGAATGCCAATGTCTTCCAGCTCAGGGTGGAACATTCGCGATCGCTTTGGTTTACTGGTTAGGATCATCACATGTAAGTTATGTGTATACAATGAATTAACAGTTTCAGATGATTACTGGGGATTAGTTTTTGGTTTTCAGTAGCTTGATTCATAATTATCCGTTTACATTTCTAACTGGTTTATGAAAAGTGCGCAATATCGCTGTAATTTTTAATTTAGGGGAAACCGTTTAACTCCAGTTCAGGTTTTCTATTATCAAACTAAATGTCTTTTAATATCTTGAAATATTTTTATTTTGAATAATCGCTCCAATTAATACTTTTTTTGTATTTTTCAGATTCCATTGACACATGTGTACTCCATAAGTATTGTTAATTATATTTTTACTTTCGTAACTATTGTCGCTTTATTCCTGTTTTTAATATTCACCCGTTTCATGTAAGTTAGTATTCTGTTGTGCATGCGATTTTTCTCAGTATTTTTTGTTTACGTTTCAAAAATAGTCTGAATATTTTTGGTGACTACAGTGCCTCGGTAAAAAATTAATATTATTTTAACGAATTTCATCGTAACCCCGATAGCCAAAAAGTACCAAGAATTTTGTTCACACTTTAATTCAATCAAATAATATGACGTCTTGAATCATCTTACTCATAATCCATTACAAGATGATATTTGACGTATTTAAAAGTTTGTTAAGGTAAACGATTACTGGATAGCACTATAGTGATAGTGTAGTGGACGTTACTCACAAAAGTGTTTATAAGTAGTATATAGCGATATATGGCATCTAATATGCAGCAATTGTCTAATGAAATGAAGAATTCCAGAACATCGAAAGTGCAGCGTTAACAGAACACTTGAAGAGCAGATGAAAGGCAGTTCGAATGAAAGAACGCACCAAAAGATGCAAATGGACAATATAATTAAGTCACTTCTGATTGCCATCGATTGACCTTTTCACAATGGTACTTCTAACTGGGTTTCCATATCACTTTGTAACTTCTCACAATGAACATACCTTCCTCCTGCCTACTATCCTCTTACAGTAAAATCATCCCTAATTGTATTTTTGTAAGACTAGGTTTTCTTGAACCTCAAAAGCCAGTGTAGTTCAATAGATTTTTGGAACCTCCCTAAAACCTATAAGTCTGTGAAATATTTAACCGCATCAACCAATTTGCCATCTCTATCCAGTACTCTGCGTCTAAACCCAGCTTCGCTCACTAGATGATCCCAACATACGCGTACAATGTTCCAAAGATATCTATGTTCAATGAGTATTGACGTGAGAATTTCCCTCTATATTTTCAAAGGCTACGTTTCATATACATAAAGTAGAACAGAACGAACTACTGAGGAGTATAGTGTTCCTTAGGTCGGTGGACAGACATCTCGCTAGCGTCACAAGTGATGCAAGTTAGCAAAAGCTAACCGAACTGTCTGAAATGTGTCGAGATTTTTTCAGACACCAACCCACCAGGTTTGGTTCAACTTTCATAATAAGTGAAGTAATCGACGCGCTCAACTACTTTACTCACTATCATCAGTTCAGGCGTTGATACAAACTAACCCTGAAGTAACATTTTGCATTGATGCCAGTTTGGTGTCCCTTGATTTGTTTTTTTCAAACGACAGATAGTCGTCGCACGGTTATACAGGCTGGTATTGATCAAACTGATTACTCTACGGTTATCAAGAAAGAATTTGGGTCTCTGCTAACAAAGTGGTACGATCAGCAATCGAGATTAGTCAGATGAGATCCCTTTCTGATCCTAGTTACTACTGTTACTTATCTACGATGCCTTTGCATTTTTGCATTAGCTGCCCGCAACTGTAGGCAAACATTGAGTAAATTTTATTTTAGTCTATGTCCGTGCTACCGTCACTTGGAAGAGTGAGACAGTTAAAATTTACTTCTTTTCAGTGGAGTTTTTCGATTGGATCAATTCAACATAGCGTTTTGCTTAATGGTTAGCGCAATTGTCTCTTTGGCGATTCCACATACAACTGACAGACAACCAATTTTGTGCACTATCATCGCTGTTGCTGTTTGCTATTTTCCGTTGGCTGCTTTTTCATGGAAATTTATATTTGGGTTGAATACATTAATCTTAATGTAGGTTGCAATTATCTCCCTTCTTATACAACATTTCCATGTATGTTAAATCTCATTTTATGCATGATAAATATCAAAATGCACTTAACTCACAGTATAAGTTCTTGGCATTCGTTTTTGTGGTTTCATAATAACGGATAAAGATAATAAAGATTTAAAAATGCCTTTGTTTTTAACACACTGTCATATATATAAAGGTGTCTGCAATATTTATGTAGTATAATACGATCGGTAGTTTTTTAATTCAGTATTCTTTTTCTAATGACTAATTTGTTTTAAATACATTAAACTTATGAATTTTGATTTGTGTAATTAGTAGAATGAATTGATTTCATTTTCTTCAGCCGTCTCTTCGTCCTGGAATCGCAATTGTGGTACATATCATATTATCTAGTTGGACATCCAACAGTAGTCTTAAGGCGGTATTCGAATCAGTTGATCGTGAGATTCTTTGGGACGGTCTGTCAAAAAAGGCGTACCAGATAAGGACATTAATCTTGTACATGCTCTCTACTAGAACAATATTGGTGGAGTCAGAGCTTATGACAAACCGTCATCGGAATCGGTTACTTCAAGTGACTCTTGTCAGGGTTGTTATGTTTCTCCATTTTTACTTAACTTTGTCATATACATGCTTTTAGAGATAACACTTCCAATGTCTGACTTTTCAATTGATCTTCTACCAGGAGATTCACTTGTTGACTAAAGTTACGCAGGTGATATAGTTATGTTTGGTGAAGACTCTAACAAAACACAGTCTTCTGGCCACCTTAAGCAACAATGCAAGCATGTTTAGGATGGGGTCCTCAACCTCCAAATGTAAAACGTTACTTTAGGATTGATTTATCACATCGCCTGAATTGATGATAATTAGTAGTAAAGCCTGGTTGAAGTTCAATGATACAGAACTGTCAACTTGAACAGAAGTACAATTAAAGAAAATGAAACTGAATGAATAACCAGTTACGATTATGGTCATCAGAATGGAAAGGAAAATTCGCTACTAAAAATCTAGCTCAGATTAGTCAACCCCGACAAAAAACCATATTATCACTCATTCTTCATAATTAGGTATATTTAAATCCAAATGGTACTCTCCGCTCTGCTTGTCATTTGTTCAGTTCTCATATGGCGCAATGCTTTACGATACTGAAAGTTGGAGAAAATAGTGGATAGTTGGTCGGTATATAATATCATCATCACCAAGAATCCTTCAGATCAAAATTTGCCCCGGAAACTGCAGGGATCTACTCCGTTAACCGCATTTGCTACATTTTCATCAATTTTATTCATGTTGTACAACTCTCTATTTTATAATAATAGTTAGATTATTCGTACATTGCTGCTGTAGTCATAAAAGTCTTTCTTGCCTTTTTTAAATTGCTCTAGCATTGCACCACATTCTCGATACCATGACCTTGTTTCTAAACCGAAAAATTGTTTGCCACTAGTTTGGATAGGTTATTTGAGTCCTGCAATTATTATTGGTACATGGTTTGGCTACACAGGAGAAGTTAGTAACAGTGGTCTGTAAGTTAACATCTTTGTATCCTCGGTTGTGGATATTCCTGTAGTTTTATTGCTCTCATATCTTTTAGGTTTTCTACGATAAACCTTTTACGTGAGTCTAGATAATTATCAGTGCGCGTTCATCAAATAAAGTCTTTGTTTAAATCTTACTGCTGGTCTAGTTAAATTTTACCATGCCTAATTGTAAAATCCAACATTATTAAAACCCGCCTAGTTGTACATGCTTACCAGTTTCGTGTTCCCAACAAGACTCGGACGCATCTGCCATCGCTCAAACAACACAGACCTATTTCTTTTTGTTTGACGTATTTTGCGAACATAGATTAGACTGACCTTTATCTGACCCATGTATTCAAGTGTTACAAACATTGCTTTTTGTTAATACAATTTTTTTGTTTACTTTTATCCTTTTAGCTGCATTGGTCCCAAAACTCTCCGTTGGTCTTTTGTTGGTCCAATAACAACAGTTGTTACTTTTAACTTCGTTATTTTGTTTGTAGTTGGTCTCGTTCTTCTCAGAAATTATCTTGTTACTCGCAAAAGTAAACTAAATAAAACAACGTACGTATGCTTTATGCATCTACTTTCGATTCCAGTTTCTAAACTAAAGCAACTTACTACTCATCAAAGATTGTATACGCTTTCTTAGTATTTACGCAAAACCTTTCATCTGAAAAGTCAACATTAATAAAGAGAAAAATGTAGTATGAATCGTCTTCCATGAAACTGCTTAATCAGTTTTTATCAGTGATTGGTTTCAAGAATTACCAAACTATTTGATTTTTCTATCGTTACCAAGGTTTGACTTGATAATTTTTAATTGAGTATTTAGTAAATTGGCAATGATAAAAATGATGATATATTTGTAATTATTATATTAAGTAGAAAATTGACGCTTAGTGTAAGTCCCTTTTTCAGAGGATAAACAACCGAATTGTCATTTTAGATTTACCGATCAGAAAACAAACGAAGATATTTCTTTGTAGGTTATTCTGATCTGTGAATTAATGGTAGTTTTAACTGGTTTGAAATTGCGTTAGCTTCCATTTTGTTTCGACTAGTCTAGGTTTAAATCAAGGTAGTTCATTTACACTTGAGATTATTCAGAAGGCAATGCTTTCGGTTTAATTAAGAAATGTAATCATGTTTCCATTTCGTAACTCTACACTACAGTTCTGTTATTTCATTTTGCAATATCACTGAGTTACAAACGTATGTGCAGCATCTCACGTTATTTTTGTCTATGACAACGATAGCAAACTTCTTAATACCTTAATTCTTTCTATCTATAATTGTAGACACTTTTTAGTGCTGACGCAGTTGATGCTAACGTTAGGAATTCCATACATTGCAATTTATATTCAGCTATTGGACGCTTTCACTATGCTAATCGTTGTACCAGTTGCAATGGCTCTAACAGCTGTACTTATGTTTCTTCTAGTCGCCGTTTTTGATGAGGTAACACCATTTTCGTAAATTTAATTTTCACAGCATAAACATACTCGAATATCTGATTGAGAAATTTATTTATTGCTAACTGTAACGTACTCTACATGAAATTCACTTACGTTTTAAGTTATCAAAACTCGACATCTGTTACGATCGAAATAGTTTTTACATTTTTCACAGATGGTTAAGTACAACTTAACTAACATGTCTTTGTTCACATACTCAAGTCGTATTCTGATATCGAAATGTTTTTTCATATAGAAGATAGTTGTATTTCACTGCTATTTCTTTCATTATAAAGCTGTCTCCAAAATGTTGCTAATTAAAAGGTTAACAAGATTTGTTAGGGTAGACTGATCTCCAAAATAACTGCAAGTTTAGATTGCAGATGAAAAAATGCTTCATAGATCTTTCCGACTACCGATATGAATCGTTTAGATAAACGAATTTGCTGTGATTCCTAAACTTATTATTACCATTAGTAAATAGTATATCTGGAGATGCTAGTCATCACCAACAACACTTCTATTGTTGAAATCGACATATCGAATGTCTTCACTTATCACATATGAAGTGATATCTGACTCTCTTACATTTAAAAGAAATTAAATCTCATTATTAGTGTTTGAAACAGTTGGATGAACATCAATTTTTATTCACATTATGATATGAATTAATTATCATGATAATTACTTTATACACGTTCCTCGTTTCTCGATAATAATGGGTTTCGCTGATAATCATCCTTTTTTCTAATATTCATTCACGTTTAACCATCTGGACCAAAGAACTATGTTTGTCAACAAGCTATCACTTTTCATCAACATAGTTCGATTCTTCATCTTTAAGCGTTTTTACTGTTGGAACCTTACGCATCCACTGTCGTTACTATCATCTCTGTGTTGCTCTAGAAATATTTTCCTAGACTACAGGGTCCCTATAAAATAACAAAAGAACTCACTAGTTTTCACTGAATATCTGCCGTATATAAATTCATGATGTAAACTACAAAGTGGAAAATCTCTTCGAGGAAAGAAAAGGTTGATTGATCGCAGCGTCCCATCTATATTTTTAGTTTTGTTGAAGTCGGTCGATTAATATTCAGATATTGATCTTATGAGCGTAATGTTGTACAATACAAATGTCTTGATCTGTGGTCTTATCACTTTTGCGAATACTCCTGATATGAAACTAACTGTAACATACTGCAGTACTATTAATTCAAATACAAAATTACTATGTAATTTTAATACTTGGCTTGTGGTTCTTTTTTGTTTCTGAAATGTAACGTCGTTCTTAATTACTTTTCTAAATACAGTTTATTATTTAGTATGGATCCATACTTTTAGGAAAATCGTCATTTACTACGATCCTTTATTTACAAACACATCGCACGTTCAAGTGAGTACAGCTCTGGGACAATGGCATTGAGAAATCTATGCAGGGGAGAATTAGAGTCAAAGTTTAAAAAATCTCCTCTCCATCATATGGAGCGGGATCACTTTTCGTCAAATTACTTAAGCACACACGCTTTACGCAACCCAGATAACGGAAAAAGTGCCTATCAACATGATAACACAATTAGAAGGAAAACACAAGAATATAGTTCAAGTATTGGTGAGTAGCAATATCTTCCACTAATTTCGTTAGTTCATACATTTGCATTGTCTGCACAATTTTGTTGAGGGAAAATAGTCATGCTTTCCTCGATACGTTATTTGTAGTACAATGTTTACTACGTCTGTATTATCCTCCCGATGTGTATCATAGTGACTCACCGGTAAACTGGGTGCTGTTAGAGGTATGAGGGCGGTTATCACTTCCCGGTTGCCCACACCGTGGAAGGGTTCTTCTGGAGGTACCTGAAAAGGAAATTGGATTAGAGGCGGTCTCAGTGACCTGAGAGCGTGACCGCAGTGCCCAAGGGACAACTGCTTGAGGCCGGTCGCGCATGGCCTTTTCGTGGGAGGTATTTGACGTGTTAGCTCCGTTCTTTAAAGGGCCTTACCGCCGGAGACGGAAATCCGTGAGGTAAGGTGAGGTGTGCATTTTTAGGGTCGACCTTTTCTAACCCCATCCCTCCTTGTGGGAAGGCAGCATCGCTGTCATGCTGGTTGTCTGAAGGAAACACCTTACTGCTGTCACACCTCTGTACAGTCAGCAGTACGACTTCGCCTTCGGACCTTGGGTTTGTTGCTTTTAGTCTTACCGCTCTTCAACCGACCTGTTTGACATGCTAGCACCTTGAGGAACGGTTGTTCCAGCCAGTATAGCTCGGTTGCTTCATCACGATAGGCAAGCCCGACCACCACGTCAAGGTAGCAACAACGGTCGGTGTATACACTCCCTGTCTTCCCTTAAACTAAGAGATTAAAATCGCTTCATATCTTTCTTCCTACGAACCAATTCTTTCTTCTTGTACTATATCTCTATATGCAATCTTTCTCTTACATATTACTACCTTTGACCTAACCACTGCTATGAATCCGGTGTTCATCTTGTTGTGCTGATGCGGTATGGCAACCTGGACCGATGCATATATGTGCCTGGTCCTACGTTGTAGCTGACTGACTGACCGGTAAACTGTTGATCAACTTTTTGTACCATGTGCTTATTTCATCCTTTGAAAATTTTAATTTTTGTTTTAAATTTGAACGGTAAATAAAAACTAAACAATTATTCTTCAATTAGAAGATAAGAATCCCTTCTAATTTTGTGTCGTTCGTATGCCCATACAATTATGTCGATACTTTAAAGTGATTTCTGATGGATCATCTGGTCGTGTTAATATTTTGTACACAAAAATCTCAGAAGGCTATAAACTTCGACTGTCAAACCCAAGTAGCAATTATGTTTGTTTTATCAAAAGTTGTCAATAAACTTACAACTATATGTTAGTTCTGTTTGATTGTGGTTTACTGTAAAAACGCGCTTTGATTTTCGTTTGGATGCATTTAGATATTCTGTACTGAACCTGTCATTCAAAGTAACAGATCATTATCCTTTGAAAATACTGAATTGAGATGGCAGATGTAAAACCTTCGAAGGACAACACTGTTTTTTTTCTGAATAAGTTCATTGTCCAGCTATTAATCCATGGTTATCACCGGTAGCACTCTCCATTTACGAATTACACACGTTCAAGTCTCGTTTCTGCTACTTCATTAACCGCCTAATGTTATATATATATATATATATATATATATATATATATATATATATATTGTCACGTTGAGGTGTCTTACCCTTTTATATACTGTTTTACTTTTTCTAATCTTTATACAAGCCTCACCTGAAACTGGTAATTCAGTTGTACTTTGCGATTCGAGACAACTAAATGGGGAGTTATTTAATGACATTTCTTCCACTGAAGAAGATCACACAGTCGAAAATATAAAGAATGAAGGTGATGTCAATCTTGGTTTTCCAAATAATCGTTCACATGTTTTACCATCTTTCAACAGTCTAGTCACTCGGATGTAAGTATTCACAATATGTACGTGAAAACAAATCGGTTGTCCATTTTAACAACCATCAAATTGTTTCTATTCAAAACAGATTTATTCGTGAAAGCGAAGATCACCGGTTTCTATTAGTTCATATCTTACTTTTAACCAATAACGAAACCTTCACTTGTACGTCATAATTTTTTAATGTTTTCTTTCTAAAACCTCAGCATTTTAAGTGGGTATATTTCATTTGTTTGCTATTTCCGTGTTTATGCGCACAGGATGAAGTTCAATTTTTAAAGCACTAGAAATTGATTTTATAGATTTTTCCACTTACTGTTGTATTGTTTGTATATATTATTTCTCAATGTATTGAGCTAATCTGCGTAATCTCTACTTCACATCAAACTGAATTTTCGAAATTAATAATTTGCCACATAATGCATGCACAAATAGGTTAATTTTGATTTCTTAAAACATTTATCGTTTGCATAATTTATTATGATTAGCAATTACATATACCTTCTTTGCCACACTATCGTTACTGCATTCTTATAAAATTTCTTAGGTACTCGGTATATCAATAAACACACAAACCGAAATTCCCCAAGGCTTGACTGGATTTACAACTGTTTCTAGTAACTGTGACACTAACTTATACGAGTAGGAAACATTGAAATAACATCTCAAGGTTTATTCGGATCAATAAAAAATAGATATTTCAGATTCTTTTCCCTCTGGAAACCCAATGCACTTTCTCTTTAGTTCAAACAGAGGCTCATTTCTTGAAAGTGAGGCTAAGTACCATGTAGTATTTTGTAAATGCAAAGCGTGAGGAAAACAAAATAAATCAGTGTCTTTCTAAATAAATATTCAAACTTAAGTTTGTTTTACATTCATAAATCAAAATTAACAGTCCAAAATATAAACGGTTTGTTTGTAAATCCCACGAATCAAATAAGCGGTGGAACGTCTGAACAGTCTTCAATATATTCGTTGTACATTCTTGGGGTCGTCGATTGTTTTTTGATGTGAAGAAGCGATTTCTTACATTTTGATGAATTGTTTCCAGAGAGTTCACTAATAGTAGCGTTTGGCTTATTAAAATCCTGAACAAAAATATGATTTCTGAAAGTTCAACAAGGCAAAAATAGTGACAAATTTTTAGACGGAGAAGCGATTGCAACAATAATAGAAATACTACAACAAAAACAATCCTTGTATTCAATTATTTCTAGATTTAAAAGGATTCAGGTTTGAAAAGACATTATCTAAATTTATCACCTATGCAAATGAATATAAAGCGAATGGAAGCCAAACGCAACAATTGAAATTACGCAAATTTATCAAAAACGTTGTGGGATAATTACAAAAACATTTTACGTATACAACCTACGTTTTGTTGGTTTTTTCGTGAGAACTTTTATGTTCATTATTTGCCGATATTCTGATTTCCTGAGATGCCTGTGTATAAATTTAGTGAAAATATTATTAACATACCTTACTGTTGATAATTTACAGCTATTGGTTAAAAATAAATAAACAGCCTTCATTCTGTGTTAAAAGTGGTAAATCAATCTTCATCGATGGATATCGGTCTATTTCCAATATTGTTATAAAATTAGGAATTCTTACAGTTAAGGCACTCATCTTTAAAAGATTTCTCATACGTTTATATGAAGATTGTCACCCTCACGAACTAATGAACACATTTGATTCATGGAATACAGAGAAATATGACAGAAGTTCAGTAAGCATATAGACGCATCAGGTATTTTTGCTGGTCAAAATTTGACCAGGTTCTTCATATTGAAAATTTTGATTACCGTGATGTGCCTTTCAAAATCGTTATTCGCGGACAGACTTATATGTTGTTTTATCGTTCAAACAGCACATCAACGTAGTATTGTCTACTTTGATTATTCTATAAGAATAATGACATTTGAAAACTGTTGTAACGGGTGGTTTGCAGGTTAGATGCGCAGCGTAGTTATCGATCGCTTCTGTGACACGTAAACACGTAATGAACGACCTAGTGTCCCGATTGGCCCTGCTTCGCTGTCTAACCCAGCCAGTTGAGTCTAGAGCGCAAGTCCCCAACCCTGGAAGCACTGCTGAGGAGTCCCATACTAGGACGAGACGGCCGTCCAGGTTTTCCATGGTGGTCTAGCTTCAATTGACTCATGATTTCAACAGGTAAAAGACTAGTATTTGAACGAAGAATATTCTTTTCGATAAATTCTCTTCAGGTTCTACAATTATATATCCAAATTATTAATCCGAAAAATGGCCAGGTTAAGGGCAAAGTACATCGTTTAAAGCATGTGAATTTAGGATTGTGATAAACATTTGATTAACTTGATAACGACTTTATACCTTTGGCATAGTAATCAGCAAATGTCCTGTCGTTAAAGAACGCTTAACATGTGAAGCATCGGCTCTAACTTCATCTGGTAAAGCTAGTTGGAAAACCTAGAAAAATAACAGGCAAAATATGCATTGTTGTGAACACGTAAATCAACAAAACCGAGTATTTTGTAATCAATTTAGGCCATATCGATTAACGACCTTTTTCATTTAACTGAATAGCTTTAAAACAGGTAGAATAAATACTTTATATTAAAGCAATAACATGGTAAGTTGTTTTTGTATAACAATAAAAGAATTCGCTTCAATCTTACGATTTCCCAGAAGGTCTATCAACGGAAGAATATATTCCGAAGGCATCATATGTAATAACCTTGGTTTACTGTTCAATATTAAACTTTGTATGGCTAAGTTACTATTTCACTGACTTTAAATATAACTAACTATTCCAAACCCATTCTCAGAGTATTGTACTTCCACTTGGGAATTCTAGAAGGAAATACGAGGTGCGTTGGCATCGATCTTTATCAGAAGTGAATTAACTCAACAGATAGCATGTTAGCAATAAGACCAGATATGGGAACAGAATCTGAAGAGTGTGGTTTTTATATCAATTAATACGTGTAAATGATTAGTGAACTAATGATTGACTGTTTACAGCCAATAAGAGAATAAGTAACAGACGTGCAGATAATCACACATATGGGTATGTACATAGATAATTAGACGACTGAATTACAGTAAGGAATTAATGAAAATAAATTGACCTTTGTTTGGACCAATTTTATTTTTCCCTCGGCAGGATATATTGTGCATACATAGTAGCGAAACGACCTACTGTACTATGATGAAAAGATACAAGAAATCTTGTACATCAATTTCAGGTTACATGTGTCCAACACTGAAGAATAATTCTTCACCTTTGCAACTGAAACTACTTAGCTTGATGAAAAGGTCAATCATGAACCTATTCAAGATACAGTTTATATTTTATGTAAGACCATTTAAAGTATCCTAACTAGCCACTCGTTGCTCCCAGTTATCAAATATAGGTTGAGCGATACACCATGTTTATTGGTACATTGAAGAACATCGTTAGAATTGTTCTCTAGTCATACTATCATCACTTTAATAACTTTATGACCTTTTCAAATTAACTTTAGAGCAATTTACTATGATGTCTACAAAAACGTATCGAAGTCAACTCGGTTAGATTCCGTTTAGAAATTAGTTGATCCACAAGACAAGGTAGAGGTATGTACCACTGTCATCTCATTTTCCTATCTTATCGTTCGAAGACTAAGGTATTTATCTCTGGATTTAAAGCCATCAAGCATTAAATGCCAAAAACATTGTCTACTGAGTTTCTAGAAACACTGGGTTAAGGTTTCCGGACATTATCCGAATCGTTTTTAACTTGAGCTATGTGAACTAATGGAGTTCGATTACCAGAAATATCCTCAAGAATATGTCTCAAATCGAACCATAACAGCCTGATAATTTGCAACGTCCTTTATTTTAAGATATTTAAATGAGCAATAAAGAACCTCGAATCACCAGGCCCAGACGACTTAGTAAAAACGAACTTACTCGTCTGTTGTTTATAAGATTTCATGATTATCTTACCTTTCTTTTAAGTGTTACTCGAACGTAATTGACTTGTATGTCGCATTTTATCAAAGCTGTATCCATATGCCTATTATGAAAAAAGTATTTTGAGTAGGAAAAACACATTAAAATTTATTAAGATTCCGAAAATATTATTTATGTACCATCAGAGTAAATTCGGGTAATTTCTCACGACATAATGATAAACAGGTTGTATCTTAACAGAAAGTATAATTCAAACTTAGTAAATCAAAAAATTTTGACCTTATAGTGAGAACATTGTTCAATAAAAAACTAATGAAATTTCCGAATCCTTATCAAATGAATATTCAGAGCAAATCTCAACATGAGATCGATGTTTTACCACGATATATATGTAGTATAAAAACGAGTGAATACTGAAAAGCATTCCCTCTTAAAAAGAATTCCTATTCCAACCCGATTTTGTCAAAAGCTTACAAAATAGTTTCCAGATACTCTCCTCATAGAATACGTACATTTGATATTTACATTGTTGCTCGTTTTGCAATCAGAGTTTAGTTTTTAAATCTCTCAGATCATAGAAAGACTTGTAGCAAAAAAAAGAGCTGAAACTGCGATAAAAATTAATGGCTAATGAACACCATGTACCTATTTTGACCACATAGATCTGTTTATAATCCCTGTGTGTTTGAAGTAATTATCGGATTTTAAACAATGAAAACGTTTCAGTGAAGAATTTATTCTCGACGATATCATTTTCTGAATCTGTGTAATCGTATTTTTGAGCAATTTTTATAAGTAGTAGTGTTCAATATAATAGAGGTTCGTTACAAAAAGGTCAAAGATGCAACACTGATTACATTGTAATAACACCCTTCTATTTACACATTATTATATTCAATACTTGAAATCTTCTGGCAGTCATGACTACATTTATGCAACACTACTTCATTTTCATAGACTTTTACATTTGACACTCGAATGAGTTTGACTATCTTTAATGATTTTGTAGCACCCTTCTGTTTTAATATAGACTAATATATGTAAAAACTACCCAAAAATACAATTGTGCAGCTTTAGAAAATTATATCTCGAAAAGAAAATTTTCTTCACTGAAACATCACGCTTTCGCCTTCTATCCAGTTTTTACTGATCGTGGCATTCTTCCTTTCTGATGACTAGATTTGAAAAAAATCATTATTGAGATAAAGAATATTCTTAACAGTTTACTTACATATTATTATTATTATTATTATTATTATTATTATTATTATTATTATTATTATTATTATTATTATTATTATTAATGTACATTACTGTATTGTAAATCGAATCTAGTCATCTAATTAATTGATACTTTGTAAAATTTTATAGAAATGATCACCGATTTTAGTTCTGATAGAGCATATCCACCTTCCGAAAGTACAAATAACAAAATCTGTAAAGATTAAAATGAAGTTAATGTTTAGTACACTGATGTGCGTACAACTCGTGCTCTGAGAATTGCTTTTCTTTGTATGATTAAAAATAAGAGAAAACATATGAGAAAGCATCAAATTGAATGATTCATGTTAAGATCACTATTCACACAAAAATAAAAGTTGCTAAGCATGAATGACTCACTTATATACAGCAACATCGAGTATGTAAACATCGTGATCGTCTAATATATCTTCCTTGAGGTTGAACTCTATCCTAAAAGATTAGACAGTTTGATTATGGAATGCAATCATAAAAGCTGTCTATCAGGCAGCGAAATTTCATTAAGTTAAATTCCTGATTCGGGACACCTTGTTCATATTAATTGTTTGAGGATTGTAAGTTCATAGGTAACTAATTATCTGAATCGTTAAACATTACGTTGGTCACAGCTTGCTAACTTCGGTCAAAATGAAGAATTACATATCAATATGAGGTGCTTAATCCATCAAGAACAGTTGTTCTAGAAGAGCAAAATGAATTCATTCATTCCATACATTCGTTGTAACAACCCGAATACCAAAAAATTGTAATATTTAGAGAGTGCACGTAACGGTTTGTCTTCTGGAAATAACTTATCAAAATACGTGATAACACACGAGATTGTGGGTGTGTTTACATAAGAAAGACGAAGTTACCATCGACTATTCACAGCTATGGTAACGTACTTTGCATAACCGTTAACTACTTCATAACTTTTATAACAACCTCCCAACTGAACATTCAATGCGTAACAAATGTTTACTTCCTTCGCACATATCCCAATCAATGTTTTTATTCTTGAAATTGTTTTTGCAAGATAAGCGCTAATTATTTGTAAAACAAGTCCATATTTTGTAGTTTTCTGGGTACAGACGAATTATTACACACAATGGAAAAAAACACGACATAATTTAGTTCACAGAAACCATTTCCAACGAATAATTTATACGGATTTATAGTATTTTAAACTTTATCAATATACTGCACTTGGATATATCGCACCTTGATTATTGCATAAAACTACCCTATTTGTCAGATTTAGTGTCAATTAGTTCACGAATGACATTCACGCAACTAAAGCCAATACAGTTTCAAAACTTCAATCAAATGAGTTTATAATTCTCATAGAAACTAACAGACTGTATGTCATAAACTATATTTGCTACATTAATTTATGACGACTGTTTGAAAAAAAATATGAAACTACTTAACCGACAAACTTAATTCCAAACCGCCGTTGCATTTGAACTTGTTGCTACCCAAACAACAGTATTATTAGTCTGTCATAATCAAAGTTGGGGCTGACAAAAGTGTGCATAAGCCTAAGCTGTCATTCTACATTGACGCGACAAAATCAAATTACCAATATGAATAGTAAAGTATGTATAAAACTCTATTTTGAAGTGGACTTCACTGGGACAAAATTAGAGTTATATTTCACTGTAATTTTCTATGGTTATTCGATAGTTTATTTGCTACAGCTATTCAGTGTAACGTCTGACGCATTTCGAATGAGACAGTGTGTTCTTTTGATTTATAGCCGTGAAATTTCTTACCACTATGGAGATTCAAGGCCAACAGATGTGATAACTTTAGAAAAACCAGCACAAGACGAATAATTTCTATATATTCAGTTTAGTACAGTATAAGGTTCAGACCAGGATTCGTTATCACATATGTTCACATTTTCGGTCTATCTGTTTGATTGATATTTAACTTGACATTTTGAATATAACGAAAACCAAGAAAAAACAGTTCTTCAGGTGGAACATATATCAACAGATGGTGTTCATAAATAAATCAGTAAGCGATTTTGTTTGGACTAGACAAATAGCGAACAAAATACAATAACGAAAAAAATCATACAAACGTACTTAGCTGTGTTGATATTGTATGGTCGGCCGTCTTCGGCAAAATATTTTGTGATTACTCGCGGTTCTATCCTGAGAAGATTTTATTACGTAAAACTTTGTATGTATATATCATGTAAGTTTATTTCTTTAACTATCTTAAAACTTTAACCTATCTTACTACATGACCGAAAAGATACAAAAAACGCCCTAAAACTATTTGAGGCGATCAACATTATTAAAGATTATTTGGTGGTAAATTTTGATAACTGCCTTTTAATGAAGCATACCAAATTAAAGGCTTTTATGAAAAAGTTCAAGGGTTTCAAAGCTGTTGATGGTTTTGATTGTGATATAAATCCCATGAATGCACTGAACTTTTATACACAAACTGAACGCACGTGTGCAGCTCATCAATATACCTTATCTTCGAACAATAAACATATCCAAGAGCCAGAGGTTGCATTTGATTGATACCAAACTCAATCAAGTAGAACTAATCTAGTTTCTTAAATAAAACAGCAGCACGAGTCACTTTGAAAATTAAGGATGATGACAGCGAGAAGTATCGATCAGCTGCTATTTTCACTTTCATTGGTGAAACTCAATATTGTCTGATCTAGAGGTGAACAGTTGTGTCACCTAAACTTCCATATAGTTTTTTTTAAATACACCAGTAACTTCTAATGGTATTTTAGAATTTTAGCAATTCCAACCTAAAATTCAAATATGAATTTACCAAAGAGATAAATAATTTATAAGTGCCTTAAAAATGAAGCAACTTTATTTGTTATCTAATTTATTACACATTCTAAGGCTCTCCATGGTCTGTTTGTGACTCTGAGATGCGCGCAACAGAAAGGTTCCGATTTTAAAGGATCTTAAGATAAATATAATGCATAAGAAATCGAGCACTAAAAGTTTGTAATTGGCTTTCTAAGGAGCCATCAGAATCTACACAGGAGTAAAATGAAATCTGGAGACTTCCCAGAATCTGCTATTGTGTAAAGTGTGTAAAATGCAATTATAAAAGGTTGTTATGATCGGTAGAAACGTCATGATATCCGGTATATCCATCTTCAAAATATAACCTTTGAATTATAATAAGAATAAAAATCAACATTGTAGTTGGATATGGCTGTTATTTATTCAGGAGAAACACCTGTTATTTTCAAATGAAGTGCCACCCATTCAATCATCATCCGCAATTGATATTACTAACAGTTTTGTTCCTAGGAAAACTTTATTGATATATTTAAAAAATATGAGTTTTAATTCTTAAAATCGGTTATCCTTTACTCCATATTGACTTCTCGTCAAAGTGGTATACTTGTAAACGTTAATCTAATTTAGCATATATATGGAAACAAATCTCAATAGGATTCCTATTTCATAAATTAAACATTACATACTATTATGTGATTTAGGTACCTTGAGTTTTTTGTTTCTTGTCTTGATTTTTCTTTTTGTTGCATATATTCATGTGTTTCAATTCGTGATTCGGGTGTGTAAGGAACTTTTTCAGACCAATATTCTTCTAAACCCATAGTTGTGCTGCACGAAAAACGAAAACTTAATTAGTAAAATAAGAACTGCATTCCACAGGACTATAACAATCTAACATAATTTGATAAACTTATTGGTGACATTTAATGATAGGAGAACTAGGCATACCATCTTCACTAACTTAACTGGCGGCCTGCACGAATATCTGTGCTACCTGTTTTTGCCATTAAAATATTTTAACAAATTATTTTTTTATCTGATTTAACACATCATTGTGTCTACTAATCGCACAACCTGTGTCAGGCGTGTTGGCGAGATTATACTTTATGGGAGACCCTTGAATGAAACTAAAGTGACCTTGAGAAATATTAGACAATCAGGAAACAGATAGTAATAGAGTAAAAACATATTATACAAAACTAAAGAATTAAAATGGATACACATTTTTTCACAGAGTTCGAAAACTTGACAAGGTTCAGAGGTTCTAAAATAGTAATGCATACGATAGAAGGACTCATACATATGGCTCCATAATAGTCGATCTCTGGAGCCATAATAAGGTCACAAAAACTATATCAGCTTCGACCACATAGCTTCAATATTGTTTGTATGCACTCCAGGTGTGTAAGCTTATAATTGTTATTACGCATATATTCCTAAAATAGTCATACCACTTAACAGTCGAAGCTTCAGTAACATCTGCGAATGTTGCAGTAAATGTTACCCGTGCTTTTATTATACCGTTCGCGACAGTTATCAGGATTTGCCTTAGTCTCAATCTGCATCGAGCAGACTGCTAGCAGACTTCTTCCCCCAACAATATCTTCATCCTTTTTGGTTCAACACAATACTTTCGACTATAAACACAATCAGTCTGTTTTTCTAAACAAATGAAGACTTCTTGTGTATTATGTATTGAGCGAACAATTGGTTTCAATAACCTCATCATCAGGCTCTATAATTATGATAATTTAAAAATGCCAAAATAAGGCTTGTATTAATGAATTTCACAATGTTATGTGTTAAAAATGGTAAACGTTTACATCTGTTACGACATATATACTTCGAAATTGTGTTATTTGCAAATTAAAAAGGTTATTTAAAAAAGTTCAGGATGATTTGGAGTAGAGTTGTAGTGAACGGAACACGGGTGGGGACAATCGAATGTATTCAGCAGTTCAACTGGCCTTCAGCTACTCTACAACTACCCTCTATTCCCAGACACTGTGAATGGAACATTGAAGTAGGTCCCCCAACTCTTGCTGAAGTTCAAAAGGCTATAGTTAATCTGAAACGAGGAAGAGCAGCTGGTCCAGATGGACTGGCTCCAGGTCTTTAAGGATGATGGTCCGATTTTAGCTATTAGGTTGACTAATATTTTAGCTAAAATCTGGGAGTTAGACGTTATCTCATCTAACTGGTCGCAATCACTTATCGTCCCAATATATAAGAAAGGGTCAAAATCATCCTGTGACAACCACAGAGGGATTAGTTTAACTAATATAATATCTAAAATACTAGCCTCAATAATTATCGGACGCCTAACTAAGACTCGTGAACTGCAAACATGAGAAAATCAGGCTGACTTCAGACCTGGTCGTGGCTGCATCGACCACGGATTCACCATTCGTCAGGTTATAGAACACAGACATGCCTATCGGCGTCCGACAATAGTGGTCTTTCTTGACTTAAAAGCATCATCTGACTCCGTAGACCGCGAGATTCTGTGGCAGTGTCTGTCATTGAAAGGCGTACCACAGAAGTACATAAACCTTGTGAAGGCTCTTTACTCGAACACTACTAATCGAGTGAGAGCTTATGGCGAACTGTCATCTACTTTTGCAACCTCAAGTGGTGTCCTTCAAGGCTGTCCACTATTTCCATTTTTGTTCAACTTCATCATAAACATACTGATGGAAATAACATTCTCGTCGACTGAATTCTCGGGTATTGATCTCCGTCCAAGAGGTCCACTTATCAAATTAGAATACGCAGACAACATGGTCCTGTTTGGTGAAGACGCTGACAAAATGCAGAGTCTTTTGGTAGCACTGAGCAACAATGCCAGAATGTTTGGAATGCTCTTCTCTCCCTCTAAATGCAAGTTGTTGCTTCAGGACTGGTCTGCGTCAACACCTGAACTAATGATAGGGAGTGAAGTAGTCGAACGCGTTGGCAACTTCACTTATCTTGGAAGTCTGATCAGCCCTAATGGGTTGGTGTCTGACGAAATCTCAGCACCGATTCGAAAAGCTCGTTTGGCTTTTGCCAACTTGCGTCACCTTTGGCGAAGGCGAGATATCCGTCTATCATTAAAAGGACGGGTATACTGCGCGGCAGTCCGTTCTGTTTTACTTTACGGCAGCGAAACATGGCCTTTAAGAGTAGAAGACACCCGTAAGCTACTAGTATTTGACCACAGATTCCTTAGAAATATTGCTGGCATCTGCTGGGATCACCGGGTAAATAATGGTGAGGTTAGACGCAGGGTATTAGGTAATGATGGTAAATCAGTTGATAAGGTTATAAATCTTCATCGACTGAGATGGTTGGGCCACGTGTTACGTATGCCTGAACACCGACTACCACGACGTGCAATGCTATCCGGTATTGGAGATGGTTGGAAGAATGTTAGGGGCGGCCAACCTGGCAACCTGGACCGATGCACATATGTGCCTGGTCCTACGTTGTAGCTGACTGACTGACTGACTCTGTGAATATAATATGTAATGCACAAATGCCCTGGTACGCCCGAGAGTGGGGAGACTCCGACCTCCCTCTCTCTCGAAATGCTCTCACATGGCCATGTGCATACAACCACTGCCAGTGAAGTCCTACTCACTACCTTCTCGTGGCTGGCGTGTTGTTTACGAGATTGAGAGGACGAAAAACGAATATCCTGTGCTTTAACCGGGTTGATGGATACGGAGGATCCACCTATGGGAGTTGGAAAACCCTGATTCTAAACCAATGGTTTCCAGGATCGCGAGGGAACTAATGGCGTATGAACCAATTATTGTTCACCGGCTACCATTTGACTGTATCTCATAACGTTGTTTCACCGTCTTGTGGATTGGACCTCTAGACCTCCAGGTCTTTGGAAAGTCTTAATATCGACGTCTGTTGTCTGTCCGAAACCCGTATTTAAGACCCTAGCGAAGTACTACAAATTCGCTCTTCGTCTGTCGCTTCGATAAGCTTGATTTATGTGCGTTTATCTGGGGACCCTGTGGTATCCACGTCTGGTCTCGCTAGCGTTGGTGTCGCACTAAGCGCTAGGGCTGAGGCAGCACTAGTCGATTAGATCCCCATTAACAGTCGGTTATGTGCTGTTAGATTAGAAAGTTTCATCAAAGTGAGAAGAAATCAGCGTGAGAAACGATGACTCTTCGTCATCTCCGCCTGTGCTCCGACAGATTGCAGCCCGGATGCAATCAGGGATGAGATTTACCACCAGTTATCTGTTCTTCCCCAGAAAGTGCGTTCGACAGATATTGTAGTACTAGCCGGAGACTTGAATGCTCAGGTCGGGCATCTAGGCACAGAAGAGAGTCGTTTAGGTGGCCGATGGGGACTCGTTGGTCGCAGGACAGATAACGGGGACCGTCTACTGCAACTGTGCACAGACCACAACTTGTTTCTGGCTAGCACTAACTTTCGGCACAGTCATCGCCGATGTGCCACCTGGCGTCCTCCCTCTGCATCTCAGTCCTGGACTCAGATTAGGCACATGACGATCAGCTACCCCTGGCGTGGTTGTGTACAAAACTGCCGCTCCTTTCGTAGTAACTATATAGGCTCTGATCTTGCCCTTGTTTGCGCCAACCTTACCTTCCTTTCAGTGGCCAACGAATTCATCGTCCTAAACGGATTGATGTCAGTAAACTGACTGCAGCTTCTGTTGCTAGTAAGTATCGAACCGAGCTAACTTCTAGGCTAGCTACCATCCCAGCGAAAAGTATAGATGAGCATTGGTTGCAATTGCACAGTACCATGAAAATGGCGAGTATAGTCGCATGTGGCTTCGAGAAACGTCCCGCTTATAAGGACTGGGTTTCTTCAGGCTCCTTGCAACTTATCGAAGCCCGTCAGTCTACTTCGGGTGACTTTGAGTTTGACCAGAAACGAAGGATGTTACGTAATGAAATCGGGTAAAGCTTGCGTAAGAACCGAAAAGCCTGGTGGTCGAAGCGTGCTAATGAGCTGGAAGCAGCAGCTGCATCTGGTAACGATTGGAAGCTCTTCTAACTCATCCGAGCCACTGGCGGCAAGAGGTCTGGTGTGAGCGAAATAATCTGTGCAGATGACGGGATGCCAATCGCTAACATCAAACGACGTCTTAGACGATAGTCAGAGTTTTTCGAGAGGACGTTCAACTGGCCTGCTGCTCCGGCAACATCGATCACTGTCCTTCCCTCCATGGCCCATGACGACTGATCCACAAAATGAGGCAGAAGTCCGCAAGGGACTCCAACTCTTGAAGCGCTACAAATCAACGGGCCCAGATGACTTACCTCCGGCTCTTTTTAAAGATGGTGGTGACTTTTTGACTAAAGAATTGACGACGTTGTTTACAAAGGTTTGGAAGTTAGAGAGTGTTCTAACGTCATAGAGTGAGTCGATAATCGTCCCTATATCTTTAAAAAGGGTTCACGCAATCTATGCAAGAACTATAGGGGGATAAGTCTACTTCCGATTGCGTCCAAGCTATTGGCTTCCTTCATACTTCGTAGGTTGTTCAGACCCGAGAAAGATTGACTGGCAAGGAGCAGTCTGGTTGTCGTCCTTAACGAAGATGTATTGATCATATCTTCTTACTTACGCCTGTTACTACTCGTGAAAGAGCATAGGCCGCACACCAGCATTCTCCATCCAACTCTGTCCTGGGCGATCCTTTCCAGCTTCATCCAGTTGTTATTCATCCTTTTCATATCTGCTTCTATATCCTGACGTAATGTGTTGTTTGGCCTTCCTCTTTTCCGCTTCCTTTCAGGATTCCAAGTTAGGGCTTGCCTCGTGATGTAGTTTGATGATTAGCGCAATGTATG